ATATATATATAAAAAGATTTTAAAAAAATGAAATTTGTTCAAATATCATAAACAAACACATATTTTAATATAAAATTCACCTCAAGTACTCTTTTAAGTTCGCGTAAGGCGGAGAAAATATAAAGACCTAAAAGAGAACATATTGCTGAACTTATTTTTATACAATTTTTTATGAATTAATTTTTGTGAAAAATAATGTTATCACAAGTATCGTTAATTTAAAGTACCTTTTGAAAAAGAAAAAAAACAGTTTTCTTTGACAAATTTTTCGAGAAAAGTTTTTTTAATATTTGCAAATATAACGTACTTGATCAATATTTTTTTTAAAAAAAGTATTTTAATGTCAATTTACAAAAAAGAAAACATTAATATTCATATACTATATAAGTATTATTTAAAAAAATTAATAATAATTTATTAAAATATATCAATTTATATAATTTTTCCTGATGGGTGACTAATCACGATAAATCCAGTTGTGCAAATAAAAAAAACAGAATAATACTTTGTGCTTCTATAAGTTAATATAGATCAATAAGAGAAGAAAACGGTCATCCAAATTTTAAGGCGCGTGTTAGCATGGAAGGAGCACATGAAAAACTGCTGAATCTCACTGGTTAGTTCTCTCCTCTTCTTCATCATCTCAATTTATTGTCATCTGTGTTGGGAAGCTTAGTCGAAAAATTATACTAGGGAAAAAAAAAAATTATGAAAAGTTTTGTATGTTTTTGAATCTCCTTGCTTGAATTCCTGATTTTGCTTTTGGTTAATATACCATTTTTCTTCTTCTTCTTACTCGTCACCACTTTCAAACTTTAATTCAAAGAAAAATCCTGTCGTGGAGTAGCTGAAAAGTCTATGTTGTAATTCTTAACCCGTTTCTATGTTATAACTAGCAAATATAAATCGTACTAAACAAAGCCTATGCAACAAACTGAAAGAGCTAGAGTTATCAGGAATTGACAGAGGGAATCGATCCCTAATCTACCTCATGAAATGTAACCCGATAAACCTCATCGACTTTTGCTAGCTCTGTCCCTGCTCTAATTCTATCCCAATTTCTGAATTATTATTGGATAAGAACTTCTGAATAAATTTCGTTTTATCTTTTATTCATTCAAATATGCTCTTGATTCCGTGGCTTATCCAGAATTAAATTATTATTGTTATTTTGCACTCTCTATCTAACAGAGCATTGTTTTTCATTATTAAAAAAATGAATTTAGAACTCTTGGTTCCACCAAATGCTGATGTAATATATTTGACCTTTAGAGTATATATTCTATTCTTTTTGTTTATTTTAAAGGATTTAATTTATGGATAGAAGAAAAAATAATATTAAGTGAGATTCGTAATCAACTGAGTTACTAAGATGGCGAGACTTTGATCTCTCTGTTTTTGTGTTGCCCTGTTTCATTTGACAGTTGAAGAAGCAGAGGGAACAGAGTCCTCTGAAAATGCAAAAACCAGCAGACTTCAATCAAGTAAATTCATACTATGGCTTCAAATATTCATCTTCACTTTTTTTACTCTTGGTGGTCAAGCAGCTGGCACTCTGTTGGGCAGAGTATACTATGAACAAGGTGGCCAAACCAGATGGATTGCTACATTGGCACAAACTGCTGGATTCTCAATTCTCCTGCCTTTCATTTGCTATCCTTCACCCAAAAATCACAATGAAGATGAACGAACCATTCACCACCCTTCCATATTTGTTCGCGCTTCCGTTTACATCTTCCTTGGTTTATTTCAAGTAGTAAACTCTATGTCTTTTACCGTTGGAGTACAGTACCTTCCTGCCTCTACTTATTCCCTAATCTCCGGTTCTCAATTGGCGTTCAACGCCATCACCTCCTACCTCCTCAACGGACAAAAAATCACAGCAATTATACTCAACTCCGTCGTGCTTCTCTCCTTTTCATCCTCTGCTGTTATATTCCAGAATGAGACTGGTGATAGCGGAGAAATATCTCAGAAATCTCTGCTGATCGGATTTGCAGCTACAACATTCGGTTCTCTAGGTTACGCATTACAGTTCTCATTAACAGAACTCGCATTCCAAAAGGTATTCAAAAGTAACACGTTAAAACAAGTCATGAAAATGTCGTTTTTCATAGGTTTTTTCGTGACGATAGCTTCGTTAACTGGGCTTTTCGTGAGCGGTAATTGGAGGGATTTGGGGAAGGAAATGGGAGAATACAGAACAGGGAAATCGTCATATGTTTTAAACTTAGTTTGTTCTGCTATTGCTTGGCAATTATACGCTCTTGGATCAGTTGGATTGGTTTTTAAGGCGTCTTCGTTGTTTTCAAATGTGATTATCAATCTGGGAACTTCAATTGTACCAATATTTGCGATGTTGTTCTTGAAAGATAGAATGAATGGGTTGAAGGTGTTTTCATTGTTATTGGGATTATGGGGATATGCATCATATATATATCAACATTATCTCGATGATTTAGAGGCAAAAACAAGTGAAGTTAAATCCTCAGATGATCAGGATGATGATTTTTAACAAACCTTTCATTCAAGAAACTTATATATCTGAATGATTTAGCTTCCTTATTTAGATTGACAAGTTAAATGTGTAAATTTATAGCTTATTGTTTAAATGTAAAATTTTATGATTTCTGTGTAAATTGAACTGCTGTTTATATATTGGATTTGCTTCTGGCTATGTATTTAGGTATCTTTTGTTCTTCCATATAAAGGGTGCGTTTGGTTTCCAAAATTTTCATATTCGGTGGTCAAAATAAGTTCGATTTCATATTGATTATTCTGGCTGCTCGAGCACCCATTATTCTCATATCAAAAATTGATTGATGCGGTGGTCATTTGTGGATAGTCAAAGTTGTATATTGCATCTGTTGTGTTAGGGTTTAATGGACTTGAAGCACTCACAATTTTAAAATCCTTAATCCGCCAATTAGTGGGGTCGAGGATAGACTTTTTATACGTTACGTGTCATTTGTCAAGATGGCATGCCCTTATCCTTTATAAAACAAAAACTCACGCACAACCAACCAACACGACAAACTTTCACCCCACTAACAAAAATAGCACTAACTTGTAATCAAATAAGATTGCGTTTCTATTGGGGCACCACTCCCTAACGGCCCTGCGTAGCACAATTCGAATTTAATCGGAACATGAATTCTGAACACAAGATAGAAAATTAAAAAATAAATAAATAAAGCTTGCGATATAACATTATCTAATTTGAGCGAGCATTTAATTCATGATAATCACTCTAAATTTAAATTTCAAATTTTCTAAGAAATATAATATAGAATTTTAAATAGTGATTTTACCTAAAAAATAAATAAATACAAAAGTTGATCTATAAATTTATATTTTATAAAAAAAATTGTTTATTTTTTCCCAAAAAGATTAATATGAAAAGATTGTTTGTCTATTAAAAAATAACTAGTTACTACTCATGTTGATCAGTGAATCTAAGTAAAATAATACATATTTGAACTGATAACTATAAACATTTATTTTAAAAAAATTTCAATTCATTAATGTGTTATTTTAAGATATATTATGTATCGTATTTATGAATTATAATTTATTTAATAAGGCTGTAAAATAAAATTCTTCAACCAAAAAAGCAAGAAAGGAACTTTAGAATCTTTTCGATGATTCAATAATTTCGTTGTCCAAATTGACATTTGAATCTTTTTTTAATTAAAAAAAAACAAAAAAGAAGCTTTAGGATCTTCTCAAAGATTCAATTATTTCGTCCTTTGGGACCCCCTATTGTACTGTCCTTTTCTCCGTTGATATTAGTTGAACTAATTAATTTTAGGAAAAGTTAGGTCAATTGATAAATATTATTGATATATTATTTAATATAATTATAGTTTTATATAATTATGAGTTGTGGTCACAGTTTAATCAAAGAACACTTACTTATATAGATTCTATTTTTATATATTTTTGTATTTGTATATTTAATTATTTTATTATTATATCGTACATATCTATATATATTTGTGTTTATACAAATGTTTTTTTTAAAAAAAAATTAGTAATATTTTTTCTTTTTAGTATCACCCACAATACTTTATACGAATCAATTATATAATTTCAACACTCGTATACAATCACTTATTTGTCTATAGTCATAGTTTGTATAATATGTAACTTGTATAAAGTCAATTTGTATAATTTATTATATATTAAAAAAATAATTAAATATGCGAACGAAAAATGAACCCAACGAAATGAAACAATAATTGTGGATCATAATTAGACAAAATGTAACTACGGAAGATTATTAGGATTCATCCCTTAGCTATTTATGAAATTTCACACTGTTTTTATTTTTATTTTGTATTATTATTTATCTTCATTTAAATATCATTAAAATAAAAAGTCATTAGTCGTTGAGTGTAGTTTAAATATTCAATTACCGGCCCCTGCCTCCACTTACAATTAGGTGTGTTACATAATTGATGATACCTATAAAAATGTACACAGAGACCCACACCAATAAAAATGGAGGGGTCCTTTAATCTTTATGAGATGTGACCTTTATTTATTTTTTATAAATATTTAATATTTAGTGTTTATATTAAAGTCTAAAAAGAATCTATTCTGTCAAATATGCTCAATACTCTTGAATTTCCAAAAAATAGATTATTGATTTCCTAACAGTACTGTATATTCAGTAGAAATTATTATATTTTATTTTTTTTAAATTAGAATTTAGCACTCAAAAGTCAGAAGTTAGGTAAATACTACCAAATAGGATTGTTCACCAAATGATTAATTTTGCTTAATAATTTGGTTTAATAGATATGGATTTTTTAATTTACTAATCCGCTATTAAATTAATAAGATATTCTTTGGTTTTATAACAAATTAATACTTATAAGACGATATATCAACTAACATCTAATTTTTTTTACTTCCTTTTTTTAAATTGACACTCCTTAAAATCTATTATATCTAAGATCACACGTATTTGATATAATTTTAATTTAGTATTATAAAATTAAAATTAAAGGAATGAATTATAAAATGTGGTTGGGGTGTCCATAGTTCATTGATCATTCAATAAAAGAAGAAAAAAACGGTTTATACAAACTTTGTTAGCATGGAAGAAGGAGCTCATGAAAACTTGCTGCATCATCTAGCTTGTCAGTTGCTCTTCTTCTTCATCGTCATCTCAATTGAGTCAAAATCATATTAAATCTCTACTGAAAAATTTACACTACGTAAACAGGCAAAAAAATATTTCATTTGATTTTTAATCTATTACTTTGAATTTTTGGCTTCACCGATGCATCGATTTTGATAAATCTAGAGTTTATAAGGTTACCTATATCAAACCACAGTATTGAAACGGGTTTGGTTGAAATGGATCGAGCTAAACCCGCTCAAATTCACTGAATTAGAAGTCAATTTTGATTTTGGTCTCTCTGTTTTTATGTTGCCCTGTTTCATTTGACAGATGAAGAAGCAGAGGAAACAGAGTCCTCTGAAAATGCGAAAAACAGCAAATTTCAGTCGAGTAAATTTATACTATGGCTACAAATATTTATCTTCACATTTTTTACTATTGGTGGTCAAGCAGCTGGGACTCTGTTGGGCAGAGTATATTATGAACAAGGAGGCAAAATCAGATGGATTGCTACACTAGCACAAACTGCTGGATTCCCAATTCTTCTGCCTTTTATTTTCTATTCTGCAACCAGAAATCAAAATGAACCACCTGTGAATGCTAGTGTATTTGTTCGCGCTTCCGTTTACATCTTCCTTGGTTTATTTCAAGTAGTGAACTCTATGTCATTTACCGTTGGAGTACAGTACCTTCCTGCCTCTACTTATTCCCTAATTTCCGGTACTCAATTGGCGTTCAACGCCATCACCTCCTTCTTCCTCAACGGACATAAAATCACAGCAATTATACTCAACTCCGTCGTGCTTCTCTCCTTCTCATCCTCTGTTGTTATTTTCCAGAATGAAACTGGTGATAGCGGTGAAATATCTCAGAAATCTCTGCTGATCGGATTTGCAGTTACAACATTCGGATCTCTAGGTTACGCATTACAGTTCTCATTAACAGAACTCGCATTCCAAAAGGTATTCAAAAGTAACACGTTAAAACAAGTCATGAAAATGTCGTTTTTCATAGGTTTTTACGTGACGATTGCTTCGTTGATTGGGCTTTTCGCGAGCGGTAATTGGAATGATTTGGAGAAGGAAATAGGAGAATACAGAACAGGGAAATCGTCATATGTTATAAACTTGATTTGTACTGCCATTTCTTGGCAGTTATACGCTGTTGGATCAGTTGGATTGGTTTACAAGGCTTCTGCTTTATTCTCAAATGTGATAATCAATTTGGGATCTTCAACTGTGCCAATTTTTGCAATGGTGTTCTTGAAAGATAGAATGAATGGATTGAAGGTGTTTTCATTGTTATTGGGATTATGGGGATATGCATCATATATATATCAACATTATCTCGATGATTTAGAGGCAAAAACAAGTGAAGTTAAATCCTCAGATGATCAAGCTGATAATTTATAATAAACTTCCCTCATTCATAGAATTTGAATCATATATGTAAACGTGTTAAATAATGACAAAAATCCCACATCGGTGATTAATGAGATGGGTGGACTCTTTATAAGGCTTGGGCAATCCTCCTCCCTTTGAGCTAGCTTTTGGGGTGTGAGTTAGGCCTAAGACCTAATTTCACAAAACGTGAAGAGTTCTATGTTATAAGTTCAATATGATGTCGTTTAAAAAAGTATAAATAGTTCAAAAAGTTTTACAAGGGATAAATTAGTTAAATTATTCTTTTTTATTTTAACAGTGTGTTGATAGAAAAACGAACAACTCATACTGGATATTGCATATGTACGTCACCTCTCTTGGGGATGTGAGGTTTCTCTTCTTGGATAATCCTTCATTCTTTGTGTTAACTTTTAATTTTGAAATTTATTTAACATGATAATCAGTATCAAAGTCTTATCAGTTGTTACTTTATCCATATTGGGCCAAAACAAAAGCATCAATCATAAGGTTTGTCTCTTTCTTAAAATGTCAAAGTTTCAAATATCTGGATGTTACCTTATTCATCTCTACTTGTCTGTTTTGCTGTTAGTATTATATTAGTGAATACTACTCATCAAACAAAGCATTAATGAGTAATAATTAATTTTCATCTATCTTAATTAATCTGTCCTTTTAGCTTAATTAAGAAGTTACTAGCTAGTTGAAATAATTTAAAAGTAGATAATATAGTGGACAATTAGATAACTCAAAGAAATTGAGAAATCCATTCAGTTAGCTCAAAATTTAATAGGCTCCAACAACTTATGAAATGACAACTTATAAAAAATGAAATAATTGTCGTTTCAGTATTAAGTTGTTTGATACGATTCGCCATTTCTTTAAGTTAGCTTTTGGATATGAGTTATGTTAAACTCAAAATTTATTCGGTGATTTGTTTGTACCATTAACTTTGTTTTGGGTGTGCTTTGAAAATAATAATAATAAAAATATAAATAATAATATATTTAATGAAATTTACTCGATTAGAGAATAAAGTGTACATAGACTTTATTATTATCTTATGAAGATAGATAGGCTATTTTCGAAAAACTCTCGAAGGAAAAAAATTGTTGTCTAAGGCCTTGTGAGGTCCATTTGGTGGCTGAGCCAGTTCAAGTTGAAGTAAAACATTAGTCACATGATTTGGGATTTTTTTTGTTAATCTTTTCTCGATCTTCATACATAAGCCCACTATTGTTTCTTGTTATTCTCAATCTATACTGCATAGCTAAAGCAAATCTATAGCCCATTTTCTTATAAAATGCAGCCCAATAAGTTGGACTATAGTCACAAGCCTAAATTAGTATTTTTCTTTTTTAGTTTTTTTACAGTGTCCGATATCTATACTGAAATTTAATTAAATTTGAATTTGAGTTGAAAATTCTCACAGTAACGGATAAAACACAATCTAACAAAAATGACTCCATATCCAGACTAACCTAGCTTTCCGCACTAGCTTATTTACACAGAATATCAATTAATGATTTGATGGCATATGTTTTTTGAATACTTGTCAATGATGCATAACTAAGTGACTGACAATTTTTTAGTAACTCGATTGGTTGTCTACATAAATTTTCACCTTGGGATTCGATTCTGTAACTCATATACTGTCCCCCTACCTTGAATTTTAAGAAAGAAAAAAATATAATCGAATGACTATGTATACTTTAAATTACAATACTCAATAATTTAAATTAATTCACCCTGGATTTTCTCCAAGCCAAATTTGTACACCTCTTAATCATTAGATTTACTGAATCTAATCATTCTTTACTTATATAAAGTTTGTAATCACTTTCTCATAGGAAATTAGTTAAACATCATTATCCTCTAATTTTGAAGTTTTTATGTCAAAATTAGTCGGTTAAAGATATTAGAAAATAATAGATCACATTGTCGGCCACGTGTTAATGACATTTTTTTATGTAATACATTTAAAATAAAACATATGATTGATCAAATATTGAATTTGTCAATGGCCTGTCTAATTGCATCCTTAATTTATATATATTGCAGGTCTAACTCCTTATTTAATGGAAATTTATTATTTTTATACAAATTTGGTGTTGAAAAAAGAGAAAAAAAGAAGTTGGAATACGTAATTGATTTGAGACGTAAGCATATTATTGGTGCTTATATAATGTGTGGACTTTATCTCTATTATTAGGCTTTATTAAATGTTATTACAACTATAAATGCCCCCTATAGTTTGGGAAATATATATTAAATAGGGATAATAATATGATATGCGGTTGCCAGTATTGTTATCAAAATGGCGTTTGGATTTAAAGAGTATACAATAAAATGGAACTTAAAACGGAACTTAAAACGGAATAAGTTGTATTTTTTGTTCAGATTAGCTAGCGTGCAACTCGATCGATTCTACGTATATTATAATTCTATCCAATAAGATTAAGATATATTAAAATCATATAGTATTTTTATATTCGCTAATAAATAAATATGAAATCTCATGATTTTCAACCACCAAATCACAAATCACAGTCTTAATTAGGTGCTAATTAAAGGGACTAAATTGTCACGTGGTTACACTTGCCACCCATTGAAAAAATAATTTAATTTTTTTTCTCATTAAAGCCAACTTAAAGTTGCTATATTTATATTGAAAGGAAAAAAAGTTGTGTCTTTTCATCATTATAAATAATACAAGGGATCCCACAATACAATAATGGATTAGTGGTGTTCTCATTACCCATTTTTTGCTTTCGACATATGATTTTGTATGACGTTATTCAAGTAATATTACTAAATTTGTGCTATTTTAATGTTCAAAATGAAATTTGATCAACTCCAAATTAAGCAGACATAACAAATTTGTGTAGGTTACTGAAATTAGACCACAAATATTTGCAAATATTGAACTAAAAAGGTCGTTTGTTTTACATAATATTGAGTCCATCAATAGTCGAAGTATATATTATGAATTAATTCTTACTATTTATCCATTTCACTCGATTTAATCCAATGATTTGGGTTTCTAACAACAATAAATTAAACAGAGCTTTATAATTTTTCTCGACACATACAAATAGGAGTGTTCGCGATTTAGATAAAAATCGATTCAATTTAATTAAATAAATCAATTTTATTTAGGTTTTGTTTGATTTGGTTTTACAATTTTTAAAACCTATAGTTTTGGTTTGGGTTTGGTTTTGTTAGAAAAATATGAACTGAAAAGTAATATACATATATTTTATTATTATCCAAACATAATACATAATTTTTACAAATAATTTTAAAGATCTTATATATGTTTTATCTAATTTTATTTTTAATCTATCTATGAACAAGTTGTTTTGTATTTGAGGCATCACTTTCCTTTACACTAAAAGCTCTTGAAGGAGATACAACGAATGGAACTATATCGTTTAGATCAGTTCTTTTATGTATGGATGAACCTGCTTCTTAATAAATAAAATCCTTTCAACTACCAAAAAAAAAAGAAAAGCAAAAATTTATAAGACGAAAATATTTATCTTATTGTTTTCATGTATATAAGCGTCAATGTCAATTTTGGTAGGACTAGAAATGTCATTATCTCTTCCTAGTTCCCTCTAAACCAAAATGGTTATAAAATTTGAAGCTTCATTCTCAAAAAAATTTAGTGACAGAAAGTTTTATAATGTTAATATTCTGACTATTTTTCATCTTCAATGGATTGTTATCACTTTTTTCTTTTCATTATAAAAGATTTATTGTTTTTACTTCTGCATTCAACAATTGAACTAAATCAAACCAAAATCGATAATGTATACTGCAGGTTTTGGTTTGGTTTGAAAACTTAAAAATTGACTAAATTAATTTAATAATTTTAATCAATAATAATCTAAACCGACCCATTTAACACGCGGACATAAAAATCTCTTAATATAATTTAAAAACGAGCAAATAGTAAATCTGATTCCTATAAAGCCTAAAAATGATAATACTAGTTGTTTGTGAATCGTGAGTTGACTTAATTAAAATAAATTAATGTAACTAACTGATTGCATTCATTCATTAAAGTATATGTTCCTTTTTAAGGAAAATAAGATTATCTTGTAATGGAGGAACGTTTCCAACTTTTATTAGACAAAAGAAAAGTGTATCATATCATAAGATAATATAATTAAATTAATAAAAATATGTTTTTATAAAAGAATAATCTTTTAAATGTAATGATTATAAACTTTAGCATTAATATAAGATTAAATGTTTTATCCATCGATAATACAATTAAATAATAAAATTCTGCTCTATTTAACATCTTGATATTTAAGATGAAACGATCATAATTCAAACACTCAAAAATGATCAAAGTATACTTTTTTTATAAAAAAAAAATACAAAGTTAGTGTTAAATTAGGTCTTAGACCTAATTCACATCCTAAAAAACAAGTTCAAAGGGAGAAGAATCGTCAAACCCTTACAAGGAATTCACTCATCTCATTAATCATCAATGTAAGACTTTTTGCTTTAGCAACCCAACATCTCATCTGATACTATGTTGAATTAGGTCCTATACGTACTTAATTCGCACCCCCAAAGCTAGCAAGCTAGCCATCGATGTAAAATATTACTCTCATCGTTTCACAAAGAATAGTCTAGTTTGACTTGACACGGAGTTTAAGAAAATAAAAAAGACTTTTGATCATGTAGTCCTGAATTAAAGTTATGTCAAATGGACAAAATTGTCCTTTAATCTTGTAACCTTAAACATGTCTCGTCGAAAATTGTTACAAAAAAAAAAGATCAATCTTTTTGAAACAGACTAAACAGGAAAGAAGATAATTCTTTTTGAAACGGATGGGTTAGACGAATATTAAGCAAGGAGGCAAGAACTTCAATGAACTTCATATATACGCTTTGCGTTACAACAATAAAACACCAAAATTAAAATTAAAACGATCCATAGGTTAAGCAACATTATATACATGATTTTAACCTTATGTTATTTGATAAATACCTTATTTACCCCTGTGTAAAGAAAAATTAAATTTCAGTTACTTCTTCATCACCATCAACTCCTTTTGTTGAATGTCCAACTCTTGCTGAATGTCCAACTCTTCCTGAATGTCCAATTCTTGATGATCCAACCCTTGATGAATCTCCAGCCCTCAACGACCTTAGTGATTCTTGCGGTAACTCGCTTCGATATTGCTGCACAACTAACACTGATGCCGATGTTGAAATCTCACCGGAAATCAACAAGTTCCCCAACGGCCCCAATTCTG